GCACATTCTTATCACATAGAACACCGGATGCAAGCCTTCACTTCATCCATCCCGCTCTAATATGATGTGTGCCATCCTTTTCAATCTCCACGTCACCTTGTATAATAGATTCGAGATACTTGAAAATACTTCTCTTGGGGATGACTTGAGTATTGAGCTTCACATCCACGCCAGCTTCAAGAGTCTCGTCAGTGAATTTTGCACTCCAAGTACTCTGTTTTAGTCCTGCTCAACTTGAAACCTTTAGACTCCATGGTGTGTCTCCAAACCTCCAACCTTGCATTAACCCCGCCACGTGTCTCATCGATCAACACTATATCATCGGCAAACAACATGCACCATGTCACCTCCCATTGGATGTGCCGCATCAGCACGTCCATGTCAGGGCAAATACGAACGGGCTAAGAGCAGATCCCTAGTGCAACCCCATCACAACTAGAAAGTGTTCCGAGTCTCCTCCCACAGTCCTCACTCGATTCTTAGCACCATCATGCATATCCTTAATAATCCTAGAGTACGCTGCCAGGACGACGCTAACCTTCAAGCACCTCCACAGAACCTCTTTCGAGGCTTTATCGTACGCGTTTTCAATAAACTTATAGTGAGGATAGTTTTGTCTTGAATAAATTAATTTTCTGCTTCTGCTTCTTGGGAGAAGCTAAAATTTTCTGCTTCTTCCCAAAAGCAGAAAAACTGCTTCTGGTACTGGCCAAAAGTACTTCTCTATCTTGGCCAAACAGCTTAAATTTTTTTAAAAGTACTTTTTTGGGAAAAAAATACTTTTGGCCTCCTAGAAACTTGGCCAAACAGGCTCTTACTTTATGCCTTGGCGTTTTGTATAATTGGCGAGGACTTTTCATTGACATTAATAGCATGTTTGGCCAATCTTCTAAAATCAACTTATTTTGAGTAGTACTTTTCTCAAAAGTACTTTTTAAAAAAGTGCTTTTGGTGAGAAACGGTTTGTGTTTGGCTAATTAATTTAAACAGTAATTAGTGTTTGGCCATGCTTTTGAAAAGTGCTTCTAACAAGTGTATTTTTCTCAAAAGTGCTTATCAGAAAAGTATTTTTAGAGAGAAGCTACTTTTTTCTGCTTCTCAAAATCTGCTTCTGCTTCTTCTCAAAAGCGCTTTTTTTCCTTCCAAAAACTTGGCCAAATACCACAATTTTTGGCCAAAAGTGCTTTTGGAATAAGAAAAAAAACACTTTTGCCACCCCTAAAAAAGCTTGGCCAAACAGGCTATAAACCTCTACCTCTTAAAACTTGAGTAAAACTTCATTGAAAACCATTGAAGTTATTTTAAACTTGAGTTTGAAAGTTCGAATTTCTGAAATTGGAATACATTTCGAGCGGGTGTTGTTGGAATAAATTTAGTACATCTTAAGACCTTTTAATTTCAATTTTGAGACGATTTAAGGAAAATTTAACGTGGTTTGAATTTAAAATTCAACGTAGAAGATGAGCAAGGAAGAATGCGTTCCCTATATATCATTTATGTATCCCCCGTGTATCAAATGAGTATCCCATATGTATTTCATGTATATTCATGTATACCTATACATACAAGCTTCGTGTGTCTTTTAAAAAAAATTGAACTTGATTTCAACTATAAATTTTAACTCTGAACCAATCCAAATCACCTTCACTTTTTCTCAAAGTTCGTATATTGTCCCATTTATGCGTTCTAACAAATTTCAACCACCTATTATTTATTTATTTATTTATTTATTTATTTGCCTAGATTTTGCATATTGTACAAATTGCACGGGCGCCTATCAGCCCCATTTCACCTATACCCGCTTTTAAATTTTTTTTAACTTGTACCTACTGTTTAAACCTCTTTTATATTGTGTTTGTGAAAATATTTTAAGGTAGTTTATGATGTTTTACAGTGGTGAGATGTTGTGGCGCTTTATTTTACTATTGCTTAGGGTTTCTTTTTTTTCTTTTTCTTTTTATTAATTGCAAAATGGGTTCGTTAAATTTATTGTTGTTTCAACAAATTGGTGATGGAGTTTGTTCTTTATGATATTTGGAGCTTATGTTTCAAATTTGAGCTCATTTGGAGTAGATTACGTATTAAATCGTATATTGGATTGCTAAAATTCGAATAACAAATTTTTATTTCTGGGTAATTTGCACTTCAGGCCTATTTGGCTTTAAGTGCATCTGAAATGCAATTTTTCACTTAAGACTTACTGGCCTTAAGCGTAGGAAAACGTTTGTTGCACTTCAGACCTTTTGGCCTTAAGTGCATTTGAAGTGCAATTTTTCACTTCAGACTTATTGACCTTAAGTGAAGGAAACCATTGGTTGCACTTCAGACCTATTTGGCCTTAAGTGCATCAAACGTGCAAATTTTCACTTCAACTTATTAGCCTGAAGTGTAGGAAACGTTTGTTGCACTTTAGACCTTTTGGTCTTAAGTGCATCTGAAGTGCAATTTTCACTTCAGACTTATTGGCCTTAAGTGAATGAAATCATTGGTTGCACTTCAGACCTATTTGGCCTTGAGTGCATCTGAAGTACAATTTTTTCACGTCAGACTAATTTTTTTTAACTTCAGATCGGATAAGTCTGAAGTTGATCGTTAAGTGGGTAAACTTACAAATTTTTTGCAAAGTGAATATGGATTCAAGTGTGACCTCAAAACCAGATATAAATACAAAGCCCCCAGATTACTTCAATTTTCCTCAAGATTTGTATACTTTTAAGGAATTTTTACATTCCTATACCATATAGGAAACCTTATTACCCTCAATGTTTAAGGTTTGATATAATTACATTTAGTATACCAAATTACCAATTCTATACCATAGTGTATTTTAAGGGTACAATTAATGCAGCGTATATCCCTCCTTAATTCAAGGTACCGTATATCCCACCCCTCCCACGTTTCTCTCTCCTAAACCCTCACCCTCACCCACGTGTATGTAGTGTTATTAAACATAAAAACCTATGATTATGGAAACATAGATTTGCAGCATTAGGTTTATGTAGTCATCAGTTCAGCTCCAAGTCCAACACTTCGTTTTTCCCAGGTATTTAAAGTCATCTTCGCAAACACCAGTGTGGTTACAATCCTGGACTAGAAATCTTTAGATCTAATAGTCTAATACTATCACAAACATAAAAATCCAGAAATAACAAAGCATTCTCCATTAGACAATAGATTCCACATGTATAAGTGGGAAAGAAAATGCATTTACGGAATAATGGTAAAGATTCAATCAAATATGAAGTCTTCCAAGTTTGACTACTCCTCAACAGCCAACAATCTCATTCAATTGTAGCTTAATTGGTATTTTGAAATAATTGCGTTTTTTGCAGAAGATTTTGTCGAAGTTTTAGTCATTTTGGATTTGTGAAAACAGAAAACAATGCATCTACAATCAGAATACAAATAATCTACAATTCATCTACAAAATATCTACAAACTGGGTATATTGAATTTTAATATCCCAATTCCCATTCGATTGTAGTTTAATTGGAATTTTCGACATAATTGCGTTTTTTGCAGAAGATTTATAGAAGTTCTAGTCGTTTTTTATTTGTGAAAACAGAAAACAAAGCATTACAATTAGAATACAAATAATCTGCAATTTATCTATAAAATATCTACAAACTGGGTACATTGAATTTTTATATCTCAATTCCCATTCAATTGTAGCATAATTTGGATTTTTGACATAATTGCGTTTTTTCAGAAGATTTGTAGAAGTTTTAGCCGTTTTTTATTTGTGAAAACAGAAAATAAAGCATCTACAATCAGAATACAAATAATCTACAATTTATCTACAATTTCTGCAATATGTCTTCTTCTTCTTCTTCTTCGAGTTTCAATCTGAAATTCAGTCAAAACCAAGTCTAATCTTCACCAAAACCCCTCAAAATTGAGATATAAACTCCAAACCATATTCCCGATTATTTTCAACAACACCCAATCCAAACAGATAATGATTTTTGAAAACCCAAATTTGAATTCAAAGCTTTCAAGCTTTTTAATGGTTGTCAATGGTGGAATTGCTGCTCTCTTTTCATTTGCTTTGTATTACTGAAATTTGCGATTGAGAAATAGAGAGAGACGTAAAGAGAATGTCGACGAACTGTTGCAGAACTGATTTCTATAATTTGATTCGAATTCGTTGCCGAATTTGTCTTTTTTTTATTTGTGGCTTAAGGAAAAATATCGAAGAACAGAATTTTTGCAGAAAAGAGTCCATGTAATTTGATTTTAAATTGAAGATATAGGATTTGCGTTTCAAATTTGATCTGAACGTCGCTAAATCAATTAGAATATTCTGTTCCTGATTTGTAGCGCGCCTAGTTAGGAAGATTCAACTACTAATAGTATTTAATGAATGGAATAATAATTGTAGAAAAACTATGAACATAGCGAGTAAATTAGAAACTATACACATATTTGATAATAAAATTTCATATATGGTATAGAAAAGAAAAAATCTCCAATTTTAACCTCCAAATAGTTCAAATAACCTTTAATCTTCCTCAAATTTTATATAATGCATCATATAGTACTTTGAACCGATTCAATCCTACCCGCTAAAGAACTCTTTTTGCCTAATTGTTTTTCGAATTTTGTATGCCATTAATAATTTTATTTTATTTTTTACTATTTTAATACCGTGACTCAATAGCTAATTGTTGGTAAATAATAGTATCCTGCAGCTCAGCCTATTCAATATTCTTTTCCAAATGAATTAACTAATGCTACCCTCCAAAATAGAAGCAACAGAGGTTCGGTTTTACTTCACTCCTTCAGTTGGTTGAATGTCCAAAGTTGTTCGTAAAGAGTTCGAAATTTTCATAAGAAACCCATCACGTCTAGGATCATTTGGTGTTATTCCAAATGCAAAAAAATTCCAGTTCTACCCCAAATGCCACCTCGAGTGGATGATCATAACGTCGAATATCCCATACTTTTTATTAACAAAAATAAGAGTGCACTTTAAGAATAAAAAAATAAATAAAAAAAACAATAAAAATATGAAAAACTTGTTTCAAGAGATCCATGGTTCAGAACATCACAATAGCAATAACTTTTACAATGATTTCTTGCTAAAAGAAGTATGAGATACCTTCATTTTTACGCTTAACAAAAGTCAAATTCCTATACATCCAATATCATATACAGACACAATCATGCCATAGCGTAGCTGATATTTTGAAGCATTCAATGGATACAGCCATGCACCCATCCGAGTAGGATATGTACTTTCTTTATATGATCAAATTAGAAGCTGGAGTGACATGAGTTAGCATGGGTTACCTATCATTCAACCATTTTAGGCAGTAGAGATTAGCATCTAAGTCCGGTCTATGTGCTACCTGTGCTTGATAATATGATGAATGCACACACCACCGAGAGCGAGAACACAGAGATCCAAGTATTCTCTGTGTACATCTCCATGGCATCTGTGAACGAAAACCGTGTTCGGTTTTCAGCCCAGTTACGGAGTCGATCTGCCTCTGCAGCATACAGTGCTCTTCCCTGCATATGTATCACAACTAATAATTAGGAACTTACTGAAAAGCATATCAGTGATGAACACTGAAGACTATTAACATATTGGCAGATGATTTGAGTAAAATTATCCAACTATTTCCTACTACGGTGCAATTCCAAAAAAATTCATAATACTTGCTTCTATCAAATAGCACAAACGACTATTCCATGAGATATCAGTGCACGAGCTGAAGTTTACCGTATTGACAAAAAAATCATAAAGCATCAAAGTATGGCCACACAGAGCCCCACATGCATCCATACATTTAGAAGGTTACCTGATCATCAAACCATCGGCCCCGTCTCAACCATGCGGTTACTAAGGCAATTAAGATCCTTGGCGGAGTCAAATAATTGATGGCTCTTCCACTTCCTTTTACAACCCGCATCCTTGGTACTAGTGTTCTAGCAACTGTCTCTGGATGTTCACAAATGATGTTAAACATTTGTCTATTTTGGATAGTTGAGCCACTGCAGGAAAAGCTCATTGTCAGTAAAGCAAGCTATAAAATAATTTGATAATGGTATTAATGAAAATCCAAAAGAAAAGTTTACTCTAAAGGTCTGAAAAGCTTAAATAGTTGCCTGAAAAGGCAGGGAGAGAAAACCCAACACTCTCTGTTCTGGAACAAAGAGATCTAATTATGCATATCAATTTCAATATTAACCTTCTCCATGCCCGCCTTTTGCAGTTTTGCTAGATCAGTTCTGTGTTTTCCCTTTTAAACTTCTCTTTCAGTCGTTGGCAGAGGAAGGAAGGGGGAAGGTGAGGTAGGAGGCTGGAGGAGAGAAATGGACAGGTATAAGGGCTGTAGCATGTAGGTATGGGAGGAGATTGAGTATAAAAGGGAGACCACTAAATTAGGCTCAATTTTCACCTGGTGGCAGGAATGCAAAAGGTGGTCACAATGGATCGCTACTAACGAAATAAAAGTTGAAACTTTTCATCTATCCATAAGAACCAGAAAAGAGAACCATCTCAAAGGTAAGAATCTCTGGTCTAATATTTCAGTAGTCCAACTTGGTGGCACTACCAGATAGAATAGGACCCAAAACAGGGCAGAGTTATCCTTCTCCAGCAGTACATTGTTCATGAAAGCTAATCAAACGACATTTGAGTGCAAAGCTCTGACGAGCCTCCTCAGATACCTCAGCAAAAGGTCAGTTAGGACCATGCCCGGAGAGGCCGTATGCATCCCAACTTTTGTCCGCTTGCACTCCTTCAGAAGGGATGATTGAAGCTGCCTGAGACCACATTTGGTTGATCCATAGCTGCAGAACATTGAAGATGATAGCACCGATATCAATATCCATCAGAAATGTATTAGATGAATACATGGAAACATCTGCAATACACAATAACATAACTTTTAACTGCAACCACAACAATCAACTTACACAGCCGTTAAAGGGGTGCTAGATCCTCCAGAACCTGCACCATCCATGTTAAAGACATGTCCACCGTTGCTTTGGGTTCTCATGATTTGGATGGCTTCTTTAGTGCATAGTATAGAACCAATCAGGTTTGTGGAGACAATCTGTACAAAATGATTTTAGTCAGCAATGTGCCATAAATAATAACTGGAACATTAGGCGACGCAACATGCAAGTACAGAGCAGATAGTTCATTATGTACACACATAAAGTTTAACTTGAAGACTCGACAAGTATGAGCTATGCCATGCATAAGAAGATGAAGGAGTTGTCTAGCAGTAGTTATCAGGAAAAAAAAAGAAGATGGGGATATATTGCTAGATAATTACAGGAAAAAATGAATAGTTAGAACGAGTGACTTATGATTGTAATAATAGGGATATATAGGTATACAAAGTATACAAACTACATATACATATTGGTGGGAAGGAGGAATATTTAATATTTATGTGGAAGAGAATACCATCAATTTGTTACCAAATTTCTACTAGTGAATAGTTAGAAAACCTACGGTTCAAACCCCACCCCCACAGAGAGAGAGAGAGAGAGTAGAGAGTGAAACCCTGGCTTGTCAATTCAATATACCCTACTCTAGTGAAAGTGCCCCACCTATTAAAGATCCATCTGCTATGGCATATGCATCCTCGAAAACAAAATTTTTGCAGTCTAGACATGAAAGAAGTTAGATAAATTGTATGAAGATTATCCACCAGATGCATACCTCTTGAATATCGTTGTTGGTAAATTGCAGCAAGGGTCGAAAACCTTTGTTTGTCCCAGCGTTGTTTACCTATAAAAAAGTCAATCTTTAGAAGCATGAAAATGAAACAGCAAACCAGGAAAGTCTTTTTCCCTCATAAGTCTTCTGAGATGCAGAAGACCCTATATATGTACTTCACTTTCTTTTGCTGTCGAGGCAAAAAATGTAAACAAAAGAAAATGACTAACCCAAATGTCAATGTAACCAAGTTCATCTGCAGCAAATTTGCCCAGCTTTCTAACGTCAAGAGGTTCAGAGACGTCACAAGCCATACCAACAACTTTTGCATGTGCCAATTTTTTCCTAGCAGAACCAGTGGCAGCATTCACAGCTTGCTTCAGATTTTCCTCAAGCTCCTTGATAGTCAAATCGACAGATTCAGGGCTGTCTTCAGGAAACTGTGCATTAACAAGAGTGTTCCTAAACTACAATTACAAGTGGCTTCCATAACCTAAGGAATTACCTGCGAGAGGTAACAACGACACGGTCTCCAGAAAGTAAAAATTCGCGGGCAAGAGCTTTCCCTAGTCCCCTTGTACTGCACCAAACAATAATCAGGTAATTACATCTATACACCAACTTCAGAGTCCGAATTGATATACCTATAATCTCTCTCTCTTTTTGTCGTAAAATTCATGAGGAGAAAAGAAAGGCACTTATCCAGAAGAGAGAGCTTCCCTTGTTGATGAAAAGAGAAACCAGTTTAAAGTTTGAAACTTAAGTAACATCTTCAAAGATGAAGATGCATTTTTCAACAAATAAATTGTTAAAGTTGAGTTGTTATTTCTACGGCCAGGAATGCTCTAGCAAGACTACAATGTGCCCTTCATAATTCAACACAATTTCGAAACGCAGATGATTAAACAAGCATAAAATAAGTTAACAAAAATAACTTAACAAGCACATAATATAATCAAGTTGCCTAATGAAGTTATGAATTTACATAATAATGAAGTGCTATACCTTCCAGTTATAACGACATTACGCGGGCCAGCTCGAGCAACTTCATCCAAAACCAAATTGGAGCCTATCATAGTCCCGATAATAACTCCCCCAAGCCAGCTATACCATATCAACTCATTCATCTGGCTATCTCCACCTGTTATATTACCAATTAGAGTAGAGTTACATCTATATTGAATGTCATTAAAGCTTTCACAACTTCAATTATGAATTTGCTAACCTGACAGCTGAAATCCAATGAACATCACAACACCTGTGCTCATCATCGTAATGACATATCTTCCAACATATAACGCCAACTGCCAAATTAAGACAAAGGATCTACATCAGCAACAATAGGGAACATACTACTCCATCAACATTATATTCAACAGCAAACCTTAAAAAGATTATCCCAATTCACTTACTGATAACCTCTTAAATCTTATTCAGGTCAGATTCCTCGGAAAAAACGAAAAAAGAGACAGGAGGACAAAAATCCATGCCAGGAAGTACATATGCACAAATCAAATGGACATACCAAGAACAATCTCTCCTCCAACTTCTCAATAGCTTCTCTATACTTAATTTCGGTTCTCAAACTTGGCTTCGAACAACTCCACACAGCAGACCTAATAGCTCCAACCAATTTGTTCACAGGTTTCTTGGTTTCACTTCCCTTCACATACTCATCCTCAGACTTAAAACTCCTGCATGGTTGTACAACAATTCTACGACGACCCTTTACAATCAAAGGGTCCCACGTAGTCACAACTCGCGGGAGAACTCTCCCGGACAGCGGTGGGTGGCCGCTGCCACGGTGGTAGTAGTGGTGGCACTCTAGTGTTGACACGTGTACCTTTGCCACAATAGCCATTTATTATCAGATAAAACAATTGGTGTACTTTTTCTTCTTTTTTGTTTACAAAGGTTTGTATGATTTCATGAAAGATGTATCCAATTTTTTCGGGGTTTGGATTTGGACTGTGTGACGTGAAATTTTCTGGGTAGAAATATCTAGAGAATTGGAATTGATTTTGTAGATCTAAGCCAAAGCGAAGAAGCCAAGGAACTTAAATGTGATGACCACACGTTACAGCTACTATTTATCTACACGCTTGAACTTTTACGTGTCATTGTGGGTCTGATGTTACGTGTCTCATTTGCCATGGAGCTTACACTTCTCTCTTTTGAGAGGATCGTATCTATACCCGCTTTTTGAGTCACGTTTTAACTTATATCCGCTTTGCAAAAAAAATTACAAGCGTACCCACTTTTCGCGTAAACTTCAGGCATACAGACCTAAAGTAGCAAAGGCAATCACGCAAACTTCAGCATTCTAGTAGACGGGTCTGAAGTTGTTTGTAATTTCTGAACTTAAGCATTCTACTGGCTGAAGTTTTGTTCTCTAGTTGCTAAAATTCAGCATGTTTTAGCTGAAGTTTTTCGCGTAAACTTAGTGTTGGCTGAAGTTTTTGTTTGTAATTGCTGAACTTAAGCATTCTACTAGCTGAAATTTTGTTCTCTATTTGCTGAACTTCAGCATGTTTTAGCTGAAGTTTTTCGCGTAAACTTAGTGTTAGCCGAAGTTTTTGCTTGTAATTGCTGAACTTAAGCATTCTACTAGCTGAAGTTTTGTTCTCTATTTGCTGAGCTTCAGCATGTTTTAGCTGAAGTTTTGTTCTATATTTGCTGAACTTCAACATGTTTTAGCTTAAGCTTTGTTATGTTTGTGATGAACTTCGGGGCTGAAGTTTGTTTTTGTATTGAAGATGGAATTTCTAATCTTTCTACTGATACAGTTCATAAAAATCCTTCTGATCTTTCTGGCTGGGTACAAAGCATGTTATCTGAGCTCAACAACACTATGAGCATTGTTTTCGTCAAAGAGACCCACAGTGCAAAACATATTTAAGAAGCAGTGCGTAAACTGAATACAAGAAAAGAAAATGGCATAGCCTTAAACACAACTGCATTCTTTAAACACAACATTCGGTGTCATAAACGTCATCTTCATTCTTTAAACACAACTGCATAGCCTGCAAGTTATGTTCAACAAAAATGGCAGTCACTATGAGCAAATCAGCAGTAAAATATACTACAAATTACAAAAAATGAAGAGTAGAATAAAGAGTAGAAAAGAAAGGAGGAAGAAAGGAGCGCACAGGTAGCAGGAAGAATGAGGCTCCTGAAGTTGTAAAAATTAGGGTATAGGTTAAATAATTTTAAAAATATGGGTATAGGTTAAATGGGGGCGACCAAATAGGGCGCCCATTCAATTTTTACCTCTTTTGAGTAGTGTGATTTAGGGCCAGCATATATCACATATAACCGATAGCCTAAATCGATAAAAAGATGGAGATTTTACCTCTTATAATAAAGTTTTACACCCTATTTATTATAAATAAATAAAAATTAAAATATTATTTTCTATGGCTTCCTTTTAGTTTTTATAGTTGTATTTATGGTCACTTCCTACTTTTAAGCCATTAAATACGCTGTTTAATATTTCTCTCTCATTCTTTCAGTTTATTCTCTCCCAAAATCACGCATAGTATCTTATTTCTCTCTCCACAATCTCTCTCTCATTCTTTCCTATATGAACCAGAAAACTGATTTCCTCTGACAGACGATGAGCTTTTCCATGATTTCCATGGTTATCACTACTCTTCAACCATAAAAACAGTGAGCTTTTCCATGATTTCCTGCAAGTTTCTTGACATCCTTTTCAAAATTGTTCTTTCCCAATTCCATAGGACGTGGAGGCGTGACACCGAATTTTTTCCCTTCTGATTCACGATTTCTTGCTTCTGTCAAGAACTATGAAATTGTGCAAGTCGTAAATCATCAACACAGAATTTCACCACTCACCCCTAACATTTTTGGGGCCGGTTAAAGCTTCTTTTTTCTTCTCTTCAATAGTTTTTTTTAAAATATTCACCATTGTTAGGTTTTCTGTAGAATACCCACTAAAGCACTCAATTTTGAAGGGCCATCTTTCGATTTGCAAATCACTCAAGAGGAACCTGTATTTGCAGGTTCATCAGCAACTACTGAAGCCGAAAGGAGAACAAAAATACGCAATGACCCTAATTGTAGATGTATTTATATATATATTCGAGTCCGCATACATTGATTTTTAGTTTCTACAGTGGTTTTTTCTTCTTGTATTTAGATATATTTATATGTATTCGATAAGGCATACACTGATTTTTTTTTGTACAGTGATTTTTGACTGTTGTATTTAGATGTATTTATATGTATTTGAGTTCTTAAAACAACATTTTTAAGTATACAGTTAGTTCTATCATTTTGATGTTATTCATCATTAGTTATGCATTGACTCACTGTATTCATCTGTATTTTAAACCTAACTGTATCCATCTGTATTTAAAACAACAATACAGTGGAATACAGTAAAATACTCTCAATACAAATAGAAAATCAATGAATACAACCAATGAAATATACTCAATAAAGCAGTAATACCATGTATTAGGAATAAATAAAATATTGTGAATACAAAAATAAACTTGAATACATTGAACACAACTGTTAGATACAACAGAATACAAGCACTAGGTTTATTATGAAATATGTAGGCAGTAGGTTACTATTACAGGTTGTATCTGACATAAATACATGATGTATTCATATACAGAAAATCGAATTTCAAAATATTTCTGTAGATACTTGTATCAATTCCGAGCAGAACCTCGAACAATGTTAGAAAATAAACCTCGAACTGTGTCAGAAAAAAAAGAGGGACTGAAACTCTTAAGAATGCTTTGTTTTTTGGTGTTCAGCGTCTGATAAATCTTCTCATTAACTGGATTGATAATGTTGTGTGTTATAACTGATTTAGGTGAATTATATTAGGAGAGTATCCCGTTAAATTAGCAGCTTTCCGTTATTAAATAATTTGAGAGACCTATTATTACGTTGTATTCATGAATACAGCGACTGAGAGTCGGACTGCCTATTTTTTAGCCAATTTTTATTACTGTATTCATGAATACAGTAGCTCGAATACATCGAATACATTACCATAACAACTGAAAGGTAGCTACGGAAAGTAGTTATGTATATGGCAGCTACAGGAAATTAATAACCACTAAACAATAGTTATTTCTGAAAATTCCTCTAAAAAGATATTGGATTATCGATATCAATTTATTGGATAAATAGTTCGATAACGATTTAATATTGCCTAATTTTATTAATGGTCTAACCGATAGTCCAATAAGCTTTAAGAAAATTATAATTTTACCTACTAGGTATACAAAAGTCACTGTAGGACTTCATTCTCTCATTCTCTCAATTCTCTCGACAGTTACTCTTCATCTTCAGACCTTAATCGTTAGAGTAAGTTTTAAACTTTTCTGAATTTCTTATTTTAACTTTTCAATTAAGATTTTTAGTTTTAAACCTTTAAAGAATTAGTTGTTCAGATTTTTAGTTTTTCTATTTGTTTCTTTTGTTGCACTGATTCTCTAGTATTTACAAGATTAGGTTTTATTATTTTTCTGTGAATTATGCTTGCCCGCAGTGAGATAGTTAGTAAAATTACATTATTGAATGTCTTATTTCTACTCCTACTAACTTATAACTTTGAATATTGAGATCATTCACTGGGATATTTTTAAATGCAAAGAAAGTTTTCTTTTCTAATGCTGAAATTTAATCCCTCTTTTCTTAAGACCAAAAATTTAGTTCCTTTCTCTTAACAGTATGATCACGATTTCTGTAATAAAAACATGAATCTTTTGAATATTTTTTATTCTTATCAGTAAATAGATAATCGAACCGTAAGGATCGATAATCGACTAACCGATACCCGATAATCGATATCTTATCGGTTCGATTATCAGTTTAGTATATTTATAGATCAATAACAGATATGCTGAACCGATAACATTCACAACCAAATCGAACTGACCGATGCCCACCCTAGTGTGATTGCTCAAGCTCTTGTCTATTTTCACACTAGTGAAGGCTCCGCCTGGATCCACTGTGAAAAAAGTTGATGTTTTATGTGTACTTGATGTTTTATGACTTGTGGAGATGGGAGATTTGATTTTTATGGGGTTCGGGAATAAATTGAAACACTTAGTTTTATTTCGAAAGTTTTAAGTTGGAAGAGTTAACCAAGGTTTGACTTTTGAGTAAAAGACCTCGAATTGAGGAATTGATGGTTCCAATAGATTCATATGCTGATTTTGGCAATAGTATCTTGAAGAGTTTGTACTCTTTTTTGCCGAACAACCACACTAAGATAATGCTAAGATGATAGAAAGAAATGCCAGTATCACTCCATATCTTGTTCTCATATTGGTGGTAGGAATTGTATCAATGAATCTACTTCATAATGTTTGTATTCTTTATAAGTAATGGACTTTTTATACATTTGCTAATCATGTGATTGTACTTACTTATTTCTTTTATTTGAGGGTAAGTAAAATTGTATAGACAAACTTTTCTGGAGTCATTTGTAGTAAATATTTACCATATTCATAGTAGTCAGAATTATCTTATTTAAAAAATAAAAGTTAGCATTTCTCCCATTCTTTATAATTGTTAACCGGTTTAATCTTAAGGATCGGAGAACTTATACACTTTTGAGAATGAATCAGATTTACGATGCATACTTAGATTGTAGTAACAACATCTTTGCCTTTAAAGATATTGTTCCATCTTCTCCAAAAGGGCGTGACTCAAACACTTTGGTATAGTACTCTAAAATTGTTTTATTGTGCGGATACTTGGTTTTTGTCTATGTTCTCTCTTTCTAGATTATCTTTATATTATGGTATATTTCAAATTTCTGGTCGGAGACTTATAGTAGTTAATGTTTTTCTATTAAAAGATATTTAATATCTTATTCGCATCTAGGAATAGGAGAAAGAAGCTCTCATGATAGAGATTAGAAAGAACACAAAGTAGCGAATGTTTCCAGCAATGAGCAAATTGTTGCAATACTCTATATGACTCTTAATTAGACTACGTAATTTCTTTTATTCGTATGTGATATAGCACCGGTAGCAACATGATACATCCGGTTGATCATGTGGTA